AGCAGCGCTGGCCACCAAGATCCTTGCTTGGGTCCTGGAAACAAGCACAATAGCTGCATTCCTACAGCGCTGACCTTGGGCCTGCAGGTCTGAAATACCCAGTTCATGCCCACAGCACCTTCCTGAGGCAGCCGTGCTAATCCAGATGRGCAGTGAGCACCAGTATTGCTGTTCAGTGCTGTATTGTGCAGTATGAGCATTGCTCAAAGGCTCTGGCCAGAAAGATCTCTTCACATAAATAGCTACTATATTATCACAGTACCCCAGAAAAGTAATTCCTCAAAAATGAAGCTGCAGTACTATTCATTCTGTAAATGAATACATGCCTTAGGAACCCTAAATCTCTCTAGAAATGTTATAGCTAAAAAAAAAAAAAAAAATCAAGTACTACAAAGCTTGCATATTTCATCTTCAGCACTAGGTCAAGTTTTAATTAACTTCCTTCAATATCTGATTGAATCTTTTTTTTTTTTTTTTTTTGCTTTCCATCCTCCAGCACCTCAGTAAAACTGTGAATTTCTTCTCATCTGCAAGTCAAGGTATGAATCAAAATGATTCAGTTGGACAAATGAATTCTGGGCATTGGCTTATATATAAGATGAAATGTTTAGTAATTTATGGAAGAGAGTTCATGGAACTTTGCTAATCTTGGAGGAGTGCTTGTCTGTTTTTGTTTTCTTTTAAATCACATCCCCCCAAGGCAACTTCATTGATTTATACCGAAATCAAGATTTAATATTCTCAGTCTTCAGTAGATTGTGCACAGTGTGGAAATCCATGCAACTAGCACAATAATTTGACAATTCTTTTCCTTTAGTCCACTACAAGCACTCCCTCTAGGATACTGTTTGCTGTTTATTAACACAGAGCTAACTAGTATCACTGATCTGTGAGCATTACTTTAAGTCATGCATCTATGAATCTTTAAATGATGCATCTAAAAGTGTAATGTACCTTTAGACTTTTTAAAAATTAAACTGCTATAATAAACAGGCAGTTAATGTATTTGATAATAAACCCTTCTCTTCACTCCTTCTCAGGACTGGGAATGAAACTTGAAAAGAAGAAAAATGAGGAGATGAATGAAGGATAATTTCAGTTATATTTAAAATCCTGTTCATGCTAAGCCATTGAATACTTGCGTACTGGGAGGGCGGGGTACAGTGTTGTACCCTACTCAATGAGCAATTATTTTAGACAGTATTTCCCTGTTCTAGTTACATAGCCCCAGTTTCCAGGAGACAAAATTCAGTGAAAGCAAAATAAAAAGCTTTTCCCTATTAAATACCTAAGACGTGTCTGAACAAACATTACAATTACATATGAAATCAAGCCAAACCTGAAGTCCGCAATGAACAGGAGTCCTCAGTTGTGCAGTTCTCTCCATTTCCTCTTTTGGATTTCTGAGGCTCTTCATCAAATTTGCTCAGAAATACTGAAATATTAACAAATTATTCGTAATACTCTTTCAGTTTTCATTCTATTGATTTCTGCACAACAGAAACGAACTTTCAATACTATTCTTATTGCTAATGATTGAAATACTTGCTTTCACGATTGTGCACCAGTTGTTGTAGACTCACATCTGAAACACAGCATTTAACAATCTATGGTTTAAGCAATTGTTCTGTTTTATATAGAAAATAGTTTCCTTGGTAATTACTCGCTATCGATTTTCTATGATTTTTTTTAAACACACCAGTTTAAAGATCCAGTTATTAGAYGTTTATAGTACTGATTATAGCTATCTCATAATAATATACAGAGATAGCTCTGGATATCAGATGWAACAATCCAAGATGAAGTGAGGAAAATTACCTGCACACAAATAGAAGTTTCAAAACAAAGAGCTGCTGATAAATACAACAAACTTACTGTAATCTAATGTCATGAAAGGCTTTTGAATAACTTATGAATGGTTACCTATTTTTCCAGGTAATAAAGTCAAGTGAAACTAAGGGGCTTCTCACCTAATAGTTTGATTAGGTAATTGTTTGTTTTATTTGAACTGCAGTAGTTGTCATTAGTTTCTGAGTGGAAACTGCTTCTTCATGAAAGCACAGAAATAACAGTACGAAGACAAGATTAATGCAGGAAGCATTGCTTTGGGAAGAATCAGCACAAACTGAAGTAATACTCCACACCTCAACTACTCTTCTGTGTTCAGTGTGCTAGTCAAGATGGGAAAGTGTGTCTCACACAGCGTGTTAATTGTATTAAGCAAGCAAAAAAAAAAAAACCCTTCATAATAAAAACACTTATGCAATGAGATGTGTATTTTGGTTTTTTTTTTGGTTTTTTTTTGTAGTCTCAGAACACAGAAGAATAATCCTCTTTCATCGTATTCAACTTACACGAGGTGAACATGTCTGCTATTGATTCTTATTATTCCAAGAGTAAAGAAAAGAAAGAAATGAAAATATGGAAACAAGTTTATTTTCTTCTTTTCCTTCTCCTGGACAAAAGCATTGTTTTAAAAGCAAGGTATACATAATACACATAAGTCAGAGGCATTCTCCACCGTAAAGAACCTATTACCAGAATGCTAAGCAGAGGCAGAGGATCATCCCAGCAGTTGTATGACAGTGTCTACAGAAAAGCAGAGATTGAATTGCAGGAGTTCAGATTACAAAGGACAGTTTATCCTGATAGGACTTGGGTGCTTTAACCAAACATATTCTGCTACAGAAATGTGTTTCTTGTAGAGAGTAGATTGTCAGGCTTTAAAATGACACAATAATGGAACAGTTCACAAAGATAAACCAAGAGTCCTTAACAAAAAAAGAAAGCATTTTCCACTCAATTCTTCATTGTTCAACATGAATATAACTGATTTTTTGTGAAGAGTAGTATCTTTGCAACTGAGCAAATGTATTAGTTTTCATGAAATTCGATTAAGTGGTCTTCAGATATAAAATTCCACTGATTTATATATGTAAAGATCACAAGTTTTCAGTGCTCACAAGTCTACCTTGTACTGCTTAGACATACTTGACAATGAAYGAATGGCCTCCAAAAAATGGCTAGGTGTTCCATTTGGAAGTACTTCTCGCAGTATAATTCCAAGGAGTTAATAATATAACTCTACAGGGCCTTCTACCTAAGATAATTCTGTGCTTCTACAAGCTAAAATTAATCCTTGTTTTTCATGTAACATTTTCAGATGGCAAAGAGTAAGCCCAAACCAAATCTGAACAGTTACAGTAAGGAAGCACAGTCTAGTTAGGTTTCTAAAAAATATTTCTAAACATCTAAATTCAAAAAATTCAAAATAGCAGACACTCCTTGCCCACTGAAGACGACAGAAAGCTTGCTGTTTGTTAAAATCATACACAGAAAGGCTGTACTACCAATGACCCCCCCATGTGGGCTGTCTGTATGACAAAATGGCAGGGACAGTAACAGCTGTTAGATAGGAACATGAGTCGGAAGAGTGTGTGTGTGTGTGTGTGTGTGTGTGAACAGGACATTCAACACTGTCGGGGAGGGCGTTTCCTCAAACTGATAATGCTGAGGGGAAAGATGCTTGTCAGAGAGATTAAACAGTAACCTTGAATTACCTTGGAAAGACCTTTGAAATAATGAAAGAGTCACCTTGAAAAGAACCATCAAAAGAGCAAGAATGTTTCCAACAGTGGATGAAGGGAAGTGATCCCTGCCTCTGCCGAGGCTTGCCAGAGCTGCCTCAGACAGGGTGAACAGCCTACATGTACATGGCCGGCTCTCAGCACAGTGTGCAACAAGCAGAGAGCTACCTGCAGTGCGTGTGGCAAACAGGATAGATCAGAAATCATACAGCGGACCCTGGAACATGTCACAGTTTGCAGCAAGCAGCACGGAGCTGGTGCAATCCCACCTCCAGCAGGAGGTGTGGGTAATGGGGGGGAACCTGCGCTCACAGAACATGGGGTGCGTTTGTATCCCACCCTGCCTGCGCGCAGCATGAACTGCTTGCAGAGGGGAGAGGAAAGGGACAAGGACTGTTTAYAAAAATTATAGAAAGATATAGAAACTTGTGTTTGTTAATGTGCTGTCAGTGTTTTGTGTTCTGTGTGTTCCATTGCTGAAGTTGATCTTGAATGTATATTTCAGTGATTGTCCATTAATTCCATGTTGTAAATAAATAAACCACTTCAATGCTAATCTGATCAAAATTAATAAACTGAGCTTTTTTTTTTTTTTTTTTGTGATCAGCATCAGCCACCAACCTACCTGGCTAAAGAAAATAAAGCAATTCACTTTTTTTCTTTTCTTTTTTTTCCCATTATACACAAAAGACTACTTAGTTAATACTGATTTGGACCAATCCGTTTCATGTGTGGGTTCTCCTTTGCTGCAAAGTTAGATAGACTTGTTGTCTCTAAATGTCATGGTAAACTTTCTTACCTTGTCGTTACTTCTAGGGTATCCTCTAATGCTGTTCTTTGTCCTAAGGAGAATTCTTAAAACACACGAAATTCACACACACTCTTATTTTTCTTTATTTTGAAAGAGAAAGATATTTCTGTGTTTYGCAAAAGTGCAAGGTAAAAATCAATAGTAAAAACAATATCAACGTTAGAACATGCCATAAAATTTAAAAACACTTACCTACTTATATTTTCTTGTAACCTACTTTTAACACAGATGCCTTTAGCTGCTATCTGAAACCACAGTCCTTCAGTCATTTTCCCAAGACATAAACTCCATTATTGCTCAAGCAGAGCAATAATGCTCTACTTGAGAACACAGAGCCATCCTAAAAGCATATGTAACTTTGGCAAACATAATAATATRTCACCTCTTCAGACCTTTCATCCAAAACTAATTTGCTAAAAGGAGGAAAGTGATACTCCTAAGACAGAAATAGAAGGGYTATAGAATATGTCTTGTCAACATAAGTAGCCAAAGTTAACAACTGTAAGGAACAAAACTTAAGAGGTAGAAAGAAACAAGATGATGGCACCTGCACGTCTTTTAAGAACATTATTTCTTAAACATTTATTCTTACAATACAGTCAGGACTTTTAAAAGCAGAGTTATCAATCATGCAACAGTTTTCTCAGTTTTCTACAACAGCAAAGCAGTTAAAGATGTTTGCTCAAAGGACAATGAGATATGAATTTGAAATTTTATGAGAATGAGTCATAGTGCTAGTGTTTTCCTTTCTGAACTACCTTCACTGCTAAATCAGGGTAAAGGAGAAAGTACATTACTTGCAGTGGAGGTCTCCACATTTTTCCTCACAATTACAATCAAAATAGATTACATTTTTCCTTCAGACTTACAAGTAATTCATTAAGATTTCTGTCCAGTAGGCTATGAGATTGACTTTTACTTTCGATGTTACCACAGTTCCTATGAAAAAATATTCCAAAATTATTACSTGCTCTCCAGTTCAGGATACACATCCCTCCTTTAAAGGAATTAATATTAACTATATACCAGGAATGGAGATACTTATATAAAAAAGACTCAGCTGACACACTAGGGATTTTGCAGAGTATTTGYATTTCATCCTATATTTCAGCATTATCATCTGAACAGAATAAGGAAACAGACTACTTGCTCCTGATAAAGGGAAGTTTCACTTCATAATCTTAATATTAAAAAAAAAAAAAGCAAGAGGTGATAAAACTGAAAAATGCAAGCAAACCTTACCAGACAATTCTTCTCTGTCCTGTTACTTTAGGCTGCCTTATTGCCCAAATCCTGACCATCATGCTACAAGAGTAAAATGATAGCAAACTGAGTTAGTGGTTTGACCAGCACTTCATCACAGTAGAATAAAAAAGGTGCATGAAATTCAGAAGGGAAACTCAAAAAACCTAAGTGTAACTATACAAGAAACAAAAAAAATACTCAACTGTAGTTCTAAAATCGAGTAAACTTCTAGAGAAAAAGGATCAGCTCTTCCAAGCCTGCATGCACTGCTTTGCTAGAAATTAACCTGCTTTCTTTTAAAGCAGTGCCCATACCTTATTTAAAAGGTACAAATCTCAGGCTTTCTTTGGGCCACTCATAGGCTTTACTTCAGTACAGTAACTTAATTTTTTTTTCCCTAAACGCCACCATCTAGAATAGAATAGGAGAGCGGCACTTGAGCGTCTAACTCGCCCCAACCCAAGCCCCCGCACCGCTTGGCAAGAGGAGCCTCAGCGCCAACGGTCGGCAGGGCACGAGCCCCACCCAGCGCCAACGGTCGGCGAGGCACGAGCCCAACGCCAGCGCTAACGGCCGGGGGGGGGGCGGCCGTTGGGGCGTGTCCAACGGCCGCCGCGAGGCGCGGGCGCGCGGGCCACTGGAGCAGGTGGCGCGGGGTGACGCGCTGCTGCTGTTGGCCTCGGGCTCGCGTTGCGGCGGCGCTAGAGCCGGCTTCGAGTTTTGCAAATGGGAGCATCCGAAGTTACTTAGCACGTGACTAATTAAACAGTATTGCCCGTGTCACTAGTGCCCTGTTATTCGCAGAACGCATTGGAAGGTGAAAAGGCTGGAGAAGATAGCATACAAGAAATAAGTACACCAGCAACCCCAGAACAGCAAGGTCAAATTATTTTTATGTAGATTTTTTAGCTTAAAATTTGGTCAGTTTTATCACAGGAATGGGGAATACAGTTTTGATGTTCCTCTTTCGCTGMATGTCTGACCCAGTGTATGTCACATGCCTGGCTGGGGGAGCACAGCTGGGGACTGCGTGACAGCCCTTGTCTGGTTTAGAAACCGCTGGTCATGACACAGGGCAAGCAGATCTCATATTTTTATTTTCCCAAATGATTTACATTGATATAAGTTACCGGGTGGTCATTATTGCCTTGGTTTTTAAAGACTGAAAAAAATCAAAATACATTTATCTATTTCCAATGGGGACTGCATTCTATGGAGCTCCACAGGCAGCAGCCCATTCTATAATCTGTGCTCTCCTAAATACTTAATTTAAAACTAGCAAAAACATAGCCATAGTAATGGCTGCAGCTTCAACATGCTCATTGGTTCTTTCCTGAACTCCTACCTTTAATTTTTTTTYCCCCCATCCAGAGTATCAAAATTGGTGACATAAAACTCTATACAAGCTACAAGCTATATGCATAGGAATGTCTCATCTGGAAAGTAGTCCCTGAACTGCGCAGAAAACTATGCAACAGAAGTGATAAGGAAACAAGTTTAGCTTATTGTATGGGTGATAGTGAGCAGGTGAGGGATTCTGACCATCACAGATATGCATTAGACATCTGACTCTGCACATGCATTTAATGCACTTCTGAGTGTGAATGCTTTTAATGTCTCATCCCTAAACCCATGGTATATGTCGGTCCCTTATCTGAGTTCACCTTCCCATTCCCCCTCCAAGGACTCCTCCTTCATTGACTTCTTCAAATTTGTCCATGCTTATTATATAAAATTATTTCAATAAAWTCTAGTTGTTGAAAATTACAGTGAGAGGTCAAAAGGTTCCCAGATATATTATTGGAGCAAAGCTTTTCTACCCACGGCCAGAGAGGTATTAATCAGCTTTAGCATGCCTTATCTGCAGGTCTCACTCTTTCTAAGAAAGGATTATTGTGCACTCCCATTCCAAGAGAGTTGTACAATTGGGCAGAATTAATAAAAACAAGAACATTTTAGATTTGTAACATTTCTTTCCTAACTTAATCACACCACAGACATTCAAAGGACAGCAGTAGTGGAAAAGACGTCTCTGGAATTTAACAAATCTATGTTGCCTTTGTCACAGAGCTTCTTAGAAATAAAATGTGTTAACGTGTTTAGGAAAGAAGTTTGTCAGCTACATATTGTCTTGGAGCAGGTTCAGAAGAAAGAGGCATTCCTGTCTCCTCCCCAAATGACATAGTCACAAATGAATTTTGTAAGAAGGCTTAGATTAAAAATAGTTTCACTGATACCTTTCAAGTGCCTCCCAGGCATATTACTCCATTTTAGGGAAACAAAAGCTGTCAGTGAGATATCCTTTGTCTTTGGGCAGGATCCATACAGCAGTCTGTGCAAATAAGGTATCTTAAAACAGGTTGAACTGGTGAAAGTTTAAAAGCAACAGATAACATTCATTAGGTCCTGATTTGGAAAAAATATCCAGCACTCCTTTTTTACCTCTTTGCCAGGCAGACATGTTGACAAGAAGCAGTCCTAAAATCAAAGATAACCATCAAGCTACCTATGAACATATTTCTGTCATGACTACATGTTGGAATAGTTTTATAGAGATGAATAATCCAAGAAATAAAGAATGATCTAGTACATATAGAATACCAATGGATAGGAAAACATGGAAATTCAAGCACAGCAGAAAAAAATAGTCAAGTATGCCTCCTTTTTTTTTTTTTCTCATCATGGAAAGTCATTTGACTTTGATTTTGTATTTATTATGGTTTAYATAATAAACATTAAGCATATCAAGTGCAGCTTTCATTGTTTGCTTGGAAGTTTTATGAGCCAACTCTACGAACTCAGGATGTAGGTGAAAGCTACTGCCCTCTCCAGAACACTGTGCATGAAGACTGGTACTGGCAGAAGTTAATGAGATAAATTGAAAAGGAAAAAAGAATTCAATGAAAAAAAAAAAAAAGTGGGAATGGAACTGCAGAACTAGAATTTCATATGCTTGCAGGAAGTAACTGCTTAGTTTAACTGGTGTTTCTCCTGCCACCATTTGTTCCTTTTTGTTTATAGCTATTTTGGGAGAAGGGGATTTCTATTTCTATGTAGGTTCCTAAAACACATTTAACACTATAGCTACTGTTGTAAACAGCAAAACCTGTACTTGCCCTTGGCTTTTGGATATATGACTCTTTCTTTGATAGGCAGATGTTTTTGAAACAAAATTAGTCAATGTTATAACTATATATAACTATATAACTTTTGGAAGCTTCAAAACATACATGTAAAAACAGAAAATTAACTTAGTTATACTAAGCTTAGTTGAGCTGATTTTATTRTGACTACATTTTGTCCATTTAGTTGTATTATCATTTTAGTTGGAACTACAATCCTTAGTGAGCCTCTAGCAGCTTGGCTTCTGAACACCCAAATGAACGTATTTATTGTGTATACCCTCTGTCCTTGAAAGTATCAAAACTGTAGGTTAGGGTTTAGCTGAAACTAGTAATCAGAGCAGAGGAAGCTTTTACAATGGTTTTCTGGTTGAAATGTACCCTTTGACTTCAAAGTCTTCCCAGAGGAAACCCACGCTGCATTAATAAGCAGAGCACACAGCTTCCTGCAGCAGCACTGTGGAGGTATGTGYCGCATAGGGGAATGATGAGCCCCAGTTCCTACTTTGAACTGTCTGGAAAATTAGTCACAAACCCCAGTGTTTCCAAGGAACATTTTTGTGGTCATTTTGAAAACCAAATTCCACAAACAAGGAATTCTGACAGAAAAACAAAAATGTTCAGGATAAGCAAATAGCCCAAGTTTTGGGGAGGGATAATGCATCGTGGCCACACAGTTACTGCATTCCGTCGCTGTGTGTGTGCACTCTTGGTGCGAGTGCCTTAGCAAGACCTCCAGCGCCAAAATAAAATGGTGGTAACTGCAGGCACCGCAACACCGGGACTCGGGCTCCCCGCCGTGGTAACAACGGCACCCACTTACTGCGGGAACAGAGCAGCCCTGCTTGGTACTTCGAAGGAAAGTCTTACATTCGCGTGGGGACGTTTTAAAGTATCTGATTTTTATCGCTGCTGAGAAATCCTTACCGAAAGATCAATAGATGGGGGAAGTGAGAGAAGCACATCCAGACAACTGCAATTGTTTCCCCCACAAAGGAAAGTTTAGCTACTTTTTGTGATGTAGCAGAGAGGCAGTGAAGATGGTAAGGATGGAAGGCTGCACTCCTAAACATTTACGCTCCGAGTCAGTTTTAAATCTGACCTCCAGATCTGTACTTGATATTCAGACAAGGGCACTACGTACGCACTGCAGTAAGRGAAGGACCACGGAGCACGCCCTGGTCTCAGATTAACACACCRCGTTCCCACACTGAGCAGTACACAAGATTTTGTGCAGCCCAAGCCTTTCTTCAGTTTTAAAACACGCCGGTTGCTCCCGTCTGAAAAGCAGAATCTCAGTGTCAGTCTACTTGTGGTGCACATGATGTTAAAGTGCCACTCTACAACTATCTAGCCATACCAAAAGAGCTACAGAAGATATAAAATAACATACAAAACAGGGCAACTTCAGAGTTTTGTTAATTCCAGCTGTTTTCCAATGCGCTATGTGTGGATCTTGTTGCATGTCTGGGGAAAAATACATATATATGTTTTCCACCACAATTAACAAGGAAAACAGGATTTCAGAAATGCCTGTTTTCCCTATTAATGTTTTTATAGTCTTGCTTTTGAAGAGATAACACTTGTATTATGATATATGAAAAAAATTACAACTGCTCATGTGGGTGGATTTTTTCTTTCCATTTAGAGTTCATTATTTTTCAATATTTAAGTATATGAATTGGTCTGTACTTCATTAATTTCTGAAGAAGTTGCATCAATAGAAAAGCTAAGCACAAGAGGATGAAAACCCACTGCTGGTTGAGTATTTTATTTTCACATTCAGACAGCTGTACAATTTCTATAAATAGATGTGGTCCTACAATATTTACATCATATCCTCACCCATTACAAGTATATTCCATTTAATATGGYAGACACCCTGGCCAACTCAAAACAAGGTTATTTCTGGGTGCATTTACTCAGAATTCTATGTCAAAACATACAATATTTCAGTTTGCAATCCGAGCATTTTTCAGTTATTTTGCATGTAACTTTTTTCTACAGTTTCACCTCCCAGCATCCTAAGAGCTTTCCAGACAAGTGCTGTACAGTTCAAGAACAAAAACAGAATGCAAAAAAAACCAAAAACAAACACATTCACATTCAGCCTCTTTAAAATAGGAAATGTGTTTGATACTTTTAACAGAGGGAATTCCAGTACATTACTAACACAGTATTCGCAAGATTCCTTGATACACAGCTACAGACTGACAAAAGTAATGGCTTAAAAAAGATTTGGACCAATATAATCCTGTGAGTTTCTGAACATTTTCTGCAGGTTGCCATAGGAATG